CGGGGCCCTCCCGCCTCGGAGGCTGAGTTCGCCCACTTCTGGACGTCCACCCAAGATCTCACCTCTAGGACTGACTATGCCCCCGAAGGTCGTGGCCTGCACGACGTTACTAAGTACGGCTCCAGGGGCCTGGGTTCGGCAGGCGCGGCCTTTCTGAGCCTTGGTCTCATCCCACAGGGCCGTGCATAACGTAGGAAACTGCTTTCAAAAGTAACAAACGTGTGCCTGACAAATACGGGGATTGCTGTTTTCAGTTACTGGTCGTGGATTGTCAAGCGGGCATGATGACGCTTCTGCCCCCGGGGAGGGGTTAAACGTCCTTCCAGTACTGCCACTGTCCTTTTCGCTCCCGCTCTTTCCGCCCCCCTCCACCGCGTGGTCCCCGGGGAAAGGCGAACTACAGTTCCCAGGGTGCGCCGCAAGGCCGCACGGAACTACAACTCCCGGCGCTCCCTGCGGCGGGGGCGGTGTTGCGTCGTCACCGCGGAGCGCGGCCGGGACCTCCGGGTCGCGCGGCGTTTCGGAGCGGCCCGGAGCTCGGGGAGGTGCCCGCGGAGGCCCGCGGGAGACGGCTCGGGGGCTGGCGCGGAAGCGGGGGCTTGGGAGCCGCAGGCATGCTGCGTCCCAAGGCTTTGACCCAGGTGTTAAGCCAAGCCAACACCGGCGGTGTCCAGAGCACGCTGTGAGTGCGGACGGAGCAGGCGAGCGGCGAGCCCGGGGCGCGCTGGGGAAGGGTCTCGGGGAGGGGAGGAAGGCGGGGCGGCCGCGGCCGGAGGGGTGGGGGTGGGAGGAGACCGGAGCGTGGATCCCGGGGCACGTTCTGGACAGGCTCTGCCCAGACCCCTGCTTTCTGCAAGCGCCCCGGCGGGAGCTGGGACGTTTTTGTCGCCGCCGCGGGCACGTCCGAACCCCTTGCCGCCACTCGCCAGGCTGCTGAATAACGAGGGCTCTCTGCTGGCTTACTCCGGTTACGGGGATACGGACGCCCGGGTCACCGCGGCCATCGCCAGCAACATCTGGGCCGCCTACGACCGGAACGGGAACCAAGCGTTTAATGAAGACAATCTCAAATTCATCCTCATGGACTGCATGGTATGGAGAGGAGAGCCACTTCCTCTGTCCCCCAAGGGGATCCCCATGGGGCGACCTGGACCCCATCCTGGATGGTTGGAGGGGCAGGGACAGGATCTCTGAGGGCTAAGAGTTGGTCTGCTGCTGCATTATGGTAGGGCAGGACCCTGTGCCTCAAGTGGTGGTGAGGAAGGAGCCAGGGACCCAGGGTCTGACTGGGCGTCTGGTGTCAGCCAGCCACCTGTCGTTTGTGGAACCTCGGGTAAGTCACTCAACCTCTCTTAGCTTCCCTAGCACATCTCTAAGGTGGAAGCGGTAATCCGTCCGATTACCGATTACCTGTGCACACATGCACACAGGTTGTCGTGAAGACCAAAAGAAAGGACGTAAGCTGTGCAGTGTCGTCAGTCATCCCAGATTCGCAGACTCACAGAAGCACAGCAGCACAGCAGAGTCTCCAGACCCTGGGCCTGTTCCTTCCGTTTACAGAAGACAGAGCTGCAGTCTAGAAAGGGGAAGTAGCCATTAGACGGCGAATTTCCGGGAGACAGAAACTGTTTCGCTCACCTTTGTGTTTGTTGGGCCAACAAATGTTTACGTCCCTGCAGTGTTCTAAGGACTAGGGAAAAAGTAGCAAATGGAACAAAACACTGCAGCTCTAACTCCTCACAGAAGCTCACGGTTTTGTGTGTGCTGTAAAACGCGTCTAAGTTAAAAAACTAGGATGTTAGGTATTGAAAATGCAATGGGAAAGGAAGTGAGGTGGGGCGTACGTCAGGGACCATCTCACTGGAAAAGTGACATTTCATTAGAGATCTGAAGGAAGTTGGCAAGCCCTGTGGCTGTCTGGGGGAAGAACATTTTTGACAAAGGCAAGCGTAAAGGCCCTGAGGCAGAGTAGCATCTGGTCAAGGAGGGACAAGGTTGATGTAGCTGGTACAGCATGGGAGTGGGGGAGGTGAGTAGAGGTGAGGCCAGAGAGGCAGGGAGTGAAGCACCTGGCTCCCAGCACACAGCAGATGGCCAGGGAAAGTTCGCGAACCAAACCGAAAAGGCCCAAGAGTGAAGTCTCCCCAAAGGATTTGGGCTGTAACCCACTGTAACCGGGCTGTCTGCCTCATCCTCGCCCCATGCCCAACCAAGGACGCCATTTCAGTTCAGCTGATGACTCCTTCTTCGTGCCTAACTTGGGGTTGGTGCTGTCGAGCAGTGGTTTTCCAACATCTTGTCCACACCCCAGCTGTAAGAAATGCCTTTTAAGTCAGAGCCCAATGCACGCCCCCCCCCCCCCACTAAAACAAAAGTTTCACGAAACAGTACTTCCCTTACCGCATGCAACGCACTCCATTTCTCTTCTTTTAAATGCTAATCCACCTCCTTAACTGATCTAACCCTAGAGTCAGACCTGCTATTTGAGAAACATTACCACGGGAAAAGAGAACTCTACCTTAGGCTACTGCTTCCTAGCTCCTCGCAGTGTCTTTGGTTGGGGTGAACCCACAGTAAAAACATCACCCATGTGGACAGCCCTTTGCAGATTCAAAACCCCCTCCTGTGTACCCTTACCAGCTGGGATGAGGTGGGGGGGGCGGGTCGCAGAAAGAGAAACCAAGAGGCTGGGAGATTGAGTTTCCCATAGTAAGTCGTAGAAAGCTGTGCTGAAGCTGGAATCTGAACTCAGGATCCCACGTCCAGGGCTGTGGCCAGAGCCCTTGGTCTGGAGCTCCTGCCATGCCCAGGGCATGGAAGGAAGATAACCTTTCTGAAGAGGAGCCCTTGGGGAAAGGGCTAAAGGCGCCAGGCAGAACATTACATCCCGTATTCTCGCCCCACCAGGAGGGCCGTGTAGCCATCACGCGGGTGGCCAACCTCCTGCTGTGTATGTACGCCAAGGAGACCGTGGGCTTCGGGATGCTCAAGGCCAAGGTGTGTACGTGCCCCTCTGTCTGCAGCCCTGGGCCCAGGCCTGGGCTTTTCACTGTCCGCTCCCACCCCATCGCCTTCCTGGAGTCCTCCTGTCACCCAGCCTGTGTGTGGTGGGGGCGGGGCGCCTAGCGGAAGAGCCCACGTAGACTGGGACCCCTCTGGTGGCAGACCTGTGCGGGCCTGATCACTCCTCCCCTCTTGCAGGCCCAGGCTTTGGTGCAGTACCTGGAGGAGCCCCTTACCCAAGTGGCGGCATCATAGCGAGCCTCGGTTGGAGCTGGGGTCAGAAAAGATCAGTGATCATTTGGAGGGGCGGGGCTCCCTGGGGAAACCTTTCTGGACGGTTCCGGAGGCTGAGACTTTTTTCCAAGAATAAACTTGAACTCCTATCTATCTTGCGTGATGGCTGCTTTCTTGAATGGGAGGAGTCCAAAGAGGTGGGAAGGAGCACGGAGTGCTCTGGAGACCCCTGAGGGCCTGCGACTCCTGCCGGCCCCTCACCTTGCCCTCTGGCAGCCAAGTGGCTCCCGCAGTGATGCCTTAGCCGCCTTGGCCTTTCCAGCAACAGGACGTATCATCGGCCCTGCTGCCGGGAGTGAGTTTACCCATCCCGACTGTCACACCGTTGCAAGTGATCTTGGAGGAGCGGGGCGCCGGTGGGGGTCTTGTCAGCAAGATTATGGGGCCCTGCAGATCCAGTGTCCTCCAGTCCCACCTTGGCGGTGGGGGGTGGGGGGTGGAATGCCTTTTCTGCTCTTGGAGTTGGAAGAGTGCTTGCTAGCCACCTGCAAGGGCTCACACAGACCCTCCAGACATCAGGGCCCTTTGCAGACGGCATGGCTTCCTCGTGAGGCCTGAGATCCCGGGGCGGGAGTATAAGCAATCCAGAAGCTCTCAAAGCCCTTCATCTCCAGATCCTGCCCGGCACTCAAACTCCTCACTCCATGTACTTCGGGTCTCCCCCCTACCCTGGGTCTCTAGAGCAGGCGTGGACAGGGAACCACCAGCCCCTAGCCCAGGGCCTTAGGAAGGGACCCATCCCAGGGGAGAGGTAGGTGGCGAGTTTCAGCTCCACCCAGGGTGGGGAACACCGCCCATCCCAGGCCCTGGGCCTTCGGGAGGAGCAGCTGCCAGAACTCTGGGAGCGATGGGCACCCGTCAGCCCCAGCCCCTCGCCCCAACAGCCCTTCCCCTTGTGCCCCCAGTTACCCCTCCCGGAAGGTCCGAAGGAAATGCAGGAGGCCAATAGGTTTCCGTTCCCTGAGAGGCTATTTCTCACTCATTGGTGGCCACCCAGGTGGGTCCCCGGTCCCCGGGAGCCTAGCAGCATGGCTCTCTGCAGGTGCCGTGCGGGCCCCAGCTTCCCCTCCCCCAACCCCCGCCCCCCCCCCCCCCGCCGGCCCGCCCCGCTGCGGGAGCCCAGGCTGGGAGCAGACACCCAACCTGCCTAACCTGTCTGACGTCATCGTCTCTCCACCCACCTGGGCCCCAGGTCTCCTGCTGCCTGCTCTTCCTGTTCTCAGCTTCCGTCCCCTTGGCTTCCTCGCAGCACCCCACCTGCCAGCGCTGAGCCTCCAGGGCCCTGCCCAGCCTGAAGTCGCCCTCAGTCCCTCTGCCTGCAGAAGTTTCTTCACCCCCAATGAGAGGAGGCGCGGACCCAGGTCTCTGGAGAGCTGAGGGTTGAGGGCACTGCGCCAACGCATAGTCCCGTCACCTCTGTCCCTGGAGACACTCGTACCCTCCATGTGGAGCCAAGATGGGGAACAGAACCGAGGAAGATTATAACTTTGTCTTCAAGGGTGAGTTGGGGTCTATAAAAAAAGAGACCAGCAGAGCCTGAAAGCGCCCGCCCGTTCTGTTGTTTTTGTTTTTTTTAATCTCTCACCTGGACCCCTGAGGGCTCCTCATTCGTGTTGGATTAGAAAGAAAGCCGCAGGGAGTTGGGGAGGGTCCGATTACTAGGGCAAAAGTCCTGGGGCTTCGGGAAGGCTCTGCTGCTGTAAATAAGGATGTTGAGCAAGCCTGCGTAGGGCCGAGTTAGGCCCCTCGGCTCCCTTCGTAGAGGAAGCCCACATCCCTAAGAGTCGTCAGCCACCACAGCGTAGGAGGTGGAGGTCAGATTTCAGGGAGGACTTTCCTCCTGAGAAAGAGGAAACAACCTCCAGAGGAAGAAAGTCCTGTCTCTGGGTGCATGTGCAGGAAAGAAAAGAAACGGAGGGCTTTGTCCATTTTGGGGTGAAAACAGGGAAGATCTCATAAATTGAGAGCAGGGTCTGATAGAGTCTGGAGGACTGAGGGCTGGGGCCCCATCGGTCGTCCCTCGGCAGCCCCCGTGGGCCCAATAGCAGGCGCCTGGGTTCAACCTGGCTGGCCCCGGGAGCATGACCTTTCCCGCTCCTTTACCTCAGCCCCTACGTCGGACCCTCTGGTGTCCCCAGCCCCCACGCACCCCTCCTCCAGGGCGGGGTTCACTGGCAGAGCCGTCGTTCCCGGCCCAGCCACCCCACCCCGCCGCCTCTCCCGGCCTCAACCCCGCCCTCGCTCAAGCTGGGACTTGGGCTGCTGGGGCCGGGGGACCCGTGCTGTCCCGGCCTCTCTCCCAGGAAGGGGAGGCTGGGACAAACGGTGCTACTAGAAACTGCCCTTTACTGAGCCCTCAGCGTGTGCCCGCTCTGGTTCGTTGGCCACCGTAACAACCCCCAAATGCATCTCTCTTTCTGAAAGCGGTCAGGGGCCAGATCGACTGTGAGAGGGCAGCTCTGTCGGTCACTAGTTAGTGTGGGTTGGGGTCTCCGGAAGCTGACTCTAAGAAGTCTGGGGTATAAGACGTCTATTGTGGATCAACACCGGTGCGAGGAAGGGAGAGGAAGCAAGACCGAGCAGCGGGGAGAAGCTCTGTGCGGCCCAGGGTCACAAAGCCTCGGCCGAGGGCGGGGAGCGCTGTGCCCCCCGGCCTTGCCCGGACGGACGCTGGGTGCAGGCGGCCCAGGACCGCCAGGGCCTCAAGCGAGGCCAACCAGCGCCCCCCGCAGGGCACCTCTGCGTTTGCCACACCAGCGGTGGCATCTGGTGCCAGCCACCGAAGCCCAAGTGCCTCCGTTTCCTCGTCTGTAAACATGGGGTGATAATAATACTGGCCTTGCCTCGCGGCACCAATGCGAGAATTACACGAGTGAACGTGTGTAAAGCTTTTACGATGGCGTCCGGCACATGGTAGGCACTCAGTCCGTGTGAACAGTCAGCGTCTCCGTTTCACAGCCGAGGACGAGACAAATGGTCACCCAGCCCGTACTCGAAGCCGGGTCTGTCGGACCCCAAAGCCCTTGCCCTGAGCACCTCTTGGGCCTGAGGACAGGCTGAGCCCCTCCCACCGGGAGGGGGGAGATGGGGAGGAGGCAGGGACACACCCCCACACTGCTCCCAGCTCTTTCCTGCTCTGCCCAAGTCTGAGGGGCTTTGACGCGTTTTATAAACAAGGAAACTGAAAGCCAGAAGGGCTGAGCCACCTGTTCGAGGTCACTAGCTAGTGAGAGGCCGAGTGGGGAGCAGCGCCCAGAGCGTGTGGCTCCCAAGGCGCCAGCCTGCTTTTCCAGAACCTGGGGGGCCTCCCGTCACCCTGGATGCGTGCTCGGTGTTGCGCAATTAGCGGGTCATGCTGGCATCGGCCCCCCCCTCGCCCTCCTCCAGCCCCTCGCTCACCCGCGGTGGATAAACCTGGGCCCTGGACGCTTTCCACCGGCCCCGAGGCTCTTTGTGGCCCCACCGGTGGATCCTGGGCCCTGGAAACCTGACGGTGATAACACCGGCCTGCCGACAACGATCACGATGGTAACGGGCTTTTGCACACTCACTCCAGCCTGGGCGATATCTCACTTATTTCTTGCAACAACCGGTAAAATAGATAGTATCACCGTTCCCAGTTGTCATACGACAGAGGTCAGGGTGGGCCGGTCCAACACCCGGCCCCATCATGTCCTTACCCGTGTCCCTCCGTGAGGATCACCCGCCGAACACTCTTCTCCCCACATTTCCGTTCACACGACGGCTCCCCACACGCGTGTGCGCACGTGCACGCCCAGCCTCCTCCTCGTCCTCACAGCTCACACACAGACACAGGCACGGCGCTGTCACGCTCCCCAGACTGCCTACGGTCTCTGTCCACATTCACACACCCTGCCAGCCTCACGGACCCTGAACACTGACCCCCACAGACAGACGGCACCCCATCACAGAAATGGGGGCTGACCGCGCGGTCCTGTCTCCACGGACCAGGCCAAGAAGCCTTACAGGCCCGCAGCCCATTTCAGACTCTCGGCCCTTCCCCCCAGGGAGGATGGATCCTGCAGAGTTGCAGTCCCCTGGGTCCCCCTCAGTTTCCCGAGCTCAGCTCCCTTTCCGGATGGACAGACCCCCGAGCTCAGCCCTTGTCTCTCTGCCCCCTCAGTGGTGCTGATCGGTGAGTCAGGCGTGGGGAAGACCAATCTGCTGTCCCGATTCACACGGAATGAGTTCAGCCATGACAGCCGCACCACCATCGGGGTTGAGTTCTCCACCCGCACGGTCATGCTGGGCACCGCTGCCATTAAGGCTCAGATCTGGGACACGGCCGGCCTGGAGCGGTACCGGGCCATCACCTCCGCGTGAGCCTGGGGGCTGGGGGGGGGGGGGGGCGGCGCTGGGGAAGTCAGGGAGGGCCTGTGGAGCAGAGGCCACGGGCCCCGTGCGCACTGGGGGGACCCCGGGACGCCGTGGCCCCGGCGAGACACGGGTGGGTGCCGTGAGCCACGCAGCCGGAGGCAGGACGCAGCGACCCCGGCTGCTAGTGGCAGGGGAAGCAGCCGCCCCTGAGCCCTTCCTGACTCCCTTCTGCTTCACACTCAGCAACCGCTGCCATTTCAGCTGCATTTTACAAACATTCGGGGTACAGAGGACCTTCCGCCTCCGGACGCCCATGCAGGACATTTGCCAGTGTCCGGCTGGACGTGAGGGGGGTGGTCTGTGGGTGTGACGGAGGACAGCACCTGCCAAGAGGCAGGAAGCAGGAGTCCAGGGCTTCGGTCACACGCACGCTCGCCACTCCTGGGCTGGTCCCCTGGCCTCTCCTGAGCCTCGGTCGACACATGAGTAAAACGGAAGAATTATATATCACAGCCTGAAAAAGCCCCATCTCACCCCAGGAGTGAGGCCGGATGCCTGCAGGGGTGCCTCAGATGGTCACCTCAGGGACTGCTGCATGGGGTGGGCTTGTAGCTGGTCCTAGAAAGGTGGCCGCGAGCGAGAAGAGGACGGTGCGCATGCAGGAGCCATGTGAGGAACGTGCCCACCGAAAGGAGCATCCAGGAGGCCGAGTGGGGCGCAGGTGCTCTTTGGTGGCCATCCAGGGCTAACATCAGAACGAAGGACCCAAGGGGCGCCTGGGTGGCTCAGGTCATGATCTCACAATTCGTAAGTTCGAGCTTACACGGGGCTCCGTCCTGATCGTGCCGAGCCTTCTTGGGATTCTCGGTCTCCCTCTCTCTCCCTGCCCCTCCCCCCTCCCAATAAATAAATAAACTTTTAAAAAAGAACAGAGGACCCAAGGAAACAGTGGGCTAGAAAAAGTGGGAGGAAGGAAGGAAGGTGACTCTGGAGGCTGCAATACTGGTGACCCGGAGGGCTCTCGGCATCAGACGCAGGACCCTGGAGTTGCCCCGTCTAGGTTTGGGTCCCTGGACCTCAGCTTTCATATGACCCCACCTCTGGTCTCGTGTCTGACCTTTCGGCTTGAGGGCTGTGCTCTGACCTTGCCTCCGTCGCTCCTGCCGCCCCCCACGCAGGTACTATCGAGGTGCGGTGGGGGCCCTACTGGTGTTTGACCTGACCAAGCACCAGACCTATGCCGTGGTGGAGCGCTGGCTGAAGGAGCTCTATGACCACGCCGAGGCCACCATCGTCGTCATGCTCGTGGGCAACAAGAGTGACCTCAGCCAGGCCCGGGAGGTGCCCACTGAAGAGGCCCGAATGTTCGCTGGTGAGAGCCCTCCACCACCCAGTCCGGCCCCCCCAGCCTGGCCCGTGCCATCCAGCTCCTGCCTCCCGGCCCCTGCTCCCACCCTAGGGCCCCAGCCTGGACTTCCTCCGTGGGCTCCCCTACCTCCATCACCTCTCTCCCAGTCTCTCAGCACTTCCCTTCTCTGGACCCTGCGTCCCTCATTATGCTTCACTGCTTGCCCCAACGTTGTCTTTATTTATTTATTTATTTTTTGAGAGAGAGACAGACAGGACACAAGTGGGGGAGGGGCAGAGAGAGCGAGGGAGACACAGAATCTGAAGCAGGCTCCAGGCTCCGAGCCGTCAGCACAGAGCCTGACTCTGGGCTCGGACTCACGAACCATGAGTTGGATGCTTAACCAACTGAGCTCCCCATGAGCCCCCCCCCCCCACAAGATTGTCTTTATGGGCAATAATTTTGTCATTGGTGTTAAAGGCCAGGCCACTCAGGGATCCAGAGCTCCATGGCCATCTCCAGTCACGCCCTCCCCAGGAGTCTTATGGGGTCAGAGGCAGCAGGACACAGAGGTTAAGGGTGCAGGCTCTGGTGTCCCATGGCCCAGCTTCACTAGATAGGGGACAGTGAGCAAGTCCTTTGTTGACGCTCTCGGTGTTTCTGGTCTTCCGTCCTCTTCTGTAAAAAAGGGATGATATTCAAACCCACCTCACAGGTTGTTTTAAGTGTTAAATCAGCAACACGTGCCAAGGGTTTAGCACGTTGCGAATGTACACAGTAAACATTAAGTAAATATTATTATTATTGTGTTTCTTTTCCTGCCAGAAAACAATGGACTGCTATTCCTGGAGACCTCAGCCCTGGACTCCACCAATGTTGAGCTGGCGTTTGAGACTGTCCTCAAAGGTTAGAGCCCCTGCCTGCATTTGGCAATGCGTCCCCCCCCATCCCATCCCTGAGGCTCCTGTGGGCAGGAGTGGGAATGCAGACACCCAGCCCTTGCCCACCCCAGATGATCCCTCAGCCCCTCTGGGGGCCCCCCAGCCTCCTCAGAGCCTCCCTAGCGCCCTCTCCTCTCCAAGCCTGAGGCTTGGGGAAGGAACCAGAACGCTACACTTCGTAGGGAGCTAAGCATTAGCCCTTCACCCAGGTAAGTAGAAGGGACCCAGGTGCCCAAACTCCATTTCCTTCCAGCAAAACCTCCTTGTGTGGCCACACCCAGTGCTCAGTAAGGCCAGTGTGGAGTGTGTGTGTGTGTGTGTGTGTGTGTGTATGTGTGTGTGTGTGTAGCATGGGTTCTCAGTCTTCTGACCCGATCACTGTCCTCCGCCCCCTCAGAGATCTTCGCAAAAGTGTCCAAGCAGAGGCAGAACAGCACCCGGACCAACGCCATCACCCTGGGCGGTGCCCAGGCTGGGCAGGAGCCGGGCCCTGGTGAGAAGAGGGCCTGCTGCATTAGCCTCTGACCTGGGCTCACACCAACCCTGCCCCCAAGGCTTACCCCACCGCCACCCCGCTCGGGGACCTGCCCCTGCCCTGTGGTGGTTCCAGATGTCAGAGCGGATGCTTCCCTGCTCCCAGCCCCACAGACCACAGGGCCCTGAGGTCAGCACGGTCCCCCCACCTGCCATGTCTCCATTGCCTGCTCCCCCGCCACACACACTCAGTCTTCCAATAAAGCTGTGTTTTGTACCAACGTCTGGCCATCCTGCTGCTCCCATCCCTGACTCCCCTTCACCTCTGGCCCCTCTGGGCTTCCCTCCCCCTCCTTCCCCCCCCCCCCCCCCCCCCCCCCCCCCCCCCCCTGGGGCCAGCTGCCTCTAGAGTCCTGTGGTCTGGGGACAGTGCCAAGGGGGCGGGAGGTGCCCAGCCTTCCCTGTGCCAACCCCCAGGGCAGGTGGGGGAGGGAGGACAGCAGGGCCAAGATGGGGTATCTGGAAGGAGAGACAAAGGAAATCACCGGCAGGTACCATCTGGTGCCCAGGGCCCTGATGCCAAGAACTGAGGTCGCTCCAATGCCAGGGGTGAGGGGAGGAGGCAGGGGAGGGGTTGGAGGGAAGGGAGAGGCAGGGCCAGCCTGCGTGTGCTGGGCAAGATTGAAGCCTGGGAGGTGGAAGGTCCAAGTCTCACATCCAGCTTGCCGCCTGACCGCCCCCCAGACCCACAGAGGAAAGGAGGTGTCCAACCTGGCAGGGTGGGAGGGGGAGTCCAAGCTGTCCAAGCAGGGTCAGTGTCACCCAGCCTCACCTTCCCCTGTTCTGCAGGACAGGGTGCATGCACCCCTCCACCCCTACCCACCCCCCAGGAGGGGACTGAGCACCTGGAGACTCAAGCAGGGAGCTGTGAACAGCAGTGGGAGCTGTCCCTCCCCTGCACTACAGGGCACCCAGTCACCCCTGAGAAAACCCCCTCACCCAGCCCACAGTGGGTCAGACTCTGATGCAGAGAAAGAGGCCAGAGCCTTAATTAATAATACTTTTAATAAAATTAAGTTCTTAATAGCACATTTAATACATTAACCCTCCCCCTTCTTGGTTTCTCTGCATTTTGTGCAACATTACTTTGACTTGATTATTCATGGGTCCGTTTCATTTCCCGCCTTTATTTTGCTTTTGAAATCTTTTTCCTCGGTGGGTTTGTATGTGTCTTCGCTAGATGCCTCAAATTAAGTCTGACCACAATCCTACGCTACTTTCTACAGTGGAGAGACCGTCCCCCTGCCCCAGGGCCGTCTCCCCCCCCCACCCTACCCCACCCGCACCCTCCAGTGGGAAGGGGAAACCCTCCCCACCCCAGACTACCTTCCCGAACTAGCGGGGTTTCTAGGACAAAAAGAGCAGGGGGGGGGGATCTCCCTAGGTGGGGTGAGAAGAGTAAATTGGGGAGAGGGAGATGTGATGGGGCGGGCCTAGGGCCAGGGAGGGGCATGACGGAGTCACTGGTGTCAAGGAGCAGCCTCCACGTGCCCAAAGCAGAGCCGAGGGGCCCCCGCCACCCCCTCGGACAGGAGGGCCCACCCTGAGCTGGGGCCGCTAGAAGGCAAGTGCTAAGAAAGATTCGCGGGTTTCTTACATGCAAAAGCCAAGCTCCCCAGTCTTCTGTGGGGAGGGTGCTGTCCCCCAGGCCAGGGCTCGGTGGGTGGCCTCTACCTGACCGCTCACAGCTGGGGGTGGGCTGAAACACAGGGGTAGAGGCAGGGTCCCCCGAAGTCCCTGCTGCCCTCCCCCTGCCTTCGTACCCCTGGGAGCCCTGTTCTCCCAGGCCTTCAAGGACAGCATCTCCCCTATACCCCAGTGGTGGGAAGTCCTTCTTGGAGTCTAACTTCTTTGAGACAATACAGCAAACCTGTGGAGAAAAGGGGCACAGTGCAGCTGTAAAGAACCATTACCGAGATTGCGACCTCCACCACCGCCTCGGAGGCCAAAAGCTACGTGGAATATTGGATAGGAACGAGGACGGGGGTGCCGACCCTCTCAGTCCTCTCGAAGCTCTACGACCGTGGGAAGCGTGTGCGAATCTGTTTCTAGAATGACCTACCAGGCTCTTGAATCAATCCGTAGCGGGGTGGATGGAGGCTACTCTTCAAGAAGGACTTCCTTGGGCCTGGGAGAAGCAGGCTCCACCCTCCCTGAGACCCCGAGAGGACACCCCACTTTGGAGTAAGGGCTGCTCTGCAGAGACCAGGGATGCGCCTGATGGCAGGCCCCCAGGTGCAAGGGCACAGAGCAGGAGAAATGTGCTCACCTTCTCTGCCGCCCCGCCCAGCTCCCATGCGGTTGAAATGATCAATGCCATCGTTCAAAGACCCCGGGGACCGAGCCCCTCATCTATTTGTCCTACAATTTAAAAATCCAAGGATTCTCAGAATCAACCCCAGCAGACTGGAAGCTCCCCACCTGAACTAGCAACCTGCTCGCACCCGGATACCTGGACATGGGCGAGTTCTCACATGCAGGGTGGAATTGACCGCTTCCCTCACCTACTTTCCTTTTTCGTTACAACTTTTATACATTCTACTGGACCCAGGGGCCCTCAATGCTACTAAACTTTAAGCTATCTGAATATTGTCTACTAAGTAACTAGTAATTCTTTCTTTTTCTCTAGGATTATATGAAATAAATTTGAATTATTATTATTAATAATTATTATTTTGTAGTATTCTTTTCTTTTAAACCCCTCGGTTTCTTTCTTTTTCTTCTCTCTCTCTCTCTCTCTCTCATTTTTGGTTAAACAAAACAAAACAAAACTATTTCTCTTAAATCTTGTACCTCTCTGAGGGTTCCCGCAGGCCTGCAACGCCTCAGCTCTGGACTTCCCCCCCCCCCCCCGCCCCTGGGACCGGGCCGGGGAAGTGGGGGGGGGGGGGCAGCCCAGGATCCTCAGTCCTAGTGCGTCTTCCTTTCTTGTTAATCCCTTTCTTTGTTTGGCTCTGCCAGCTCCCCCGAGGGGGAGGGGAGCGGGGAGGGGGCCCATGGAGTGAAATCCAATCTACTTGTGGGGCCCCAGAAGGACCAGGTTCCCCCAGCCCCTGTCTCCACCACGCATCCCAGGATGCTCCCCACGAAAAGCAAATGACATTCCTCCCCAAAAAAAAGTGGGGGAAAAAAGGAACGTAAACCCGAACATATATTAAAAACACTTTTTTTTTTTTAAGATTTAACTCTGAATACAAATGTATTTTTTTTCTTCTTCTCTCCCTACATATATTCTAAACCTTCTAAAGTTTTTTTATTTTTTTAAGGATCACTTTATCATAAAATAAAATATCCTTTTCATATAATAAATTACCTAATAAAAAGTCTTTTTTTTTTCATATTAGCCCAGGTTCTTTGCTACATTTATACGGTAATAAACGCCTTTATTAAAATAGAATATTAAATTATAAAGAACTGCTTTTTTTTTTTTTTTCTATTTTTGTTTTCTCTCCTTTGCGTTGGTCGCCTATCTCGCTCCCTCTCACGCTTTCTCTCCTCTGTTTTGTCTCTCACTATGTGTTTTTGCGTTGGTTTCTAGGTTTGGCTCAATTAGTAAGGGTGGGATTGAATTTTCCGAGCCCCCTAGAGTAACAGTCTTCTGCCTTTGTGGGTAAGAGGTGGAGAGGGGGAGGGGGATCGACAGACAGACATCCCTTCTTCCCACCCCCCTCCCCACCCCCCCTCGGCGACCGGGGGTGCCCATTTGGTTTGGTTTCTATTGTACAGACATCTCAGGATGGCTCACATTGGCGGGAAGGAGGGAAGTTGTCAGCGGCCAGTTTTCCTGACTGTGACCTCCTTCCTCTCCCCTCCCTGGCTGGTGGTCTGGAGGGGTAGGCCGAGGAGAGGTGAGTTAATTCACAACAGGAGGAAGGAGAGGAGGAAATCCCCCCTGTACCTCCATCCCTGCACTCCCTCTCCATCAGATAGAATGGGATTCCCGAGCCAAGTGCTCAGAGATCACTTGGAAGAGTCCCACCCCACTATATACAAGAATCTCCTGGGACTCCCATCCCCCACCCTCTCCTGGCCCGGCCAGCGGAACCGGGAGGGTGGCAGGCTGGTGGCAGCCCCAAGTGAGCCTCAGGGAAGCAGTGGAGGGGGGATGCAAGGCCTGTTAGCAATATGGGGCCCTGCGGCACCACGATCCCGACCGGCCTGGGACTGAGCTCTCTCTGAAGACCCAGCCTCTCTCCTCAGCCACAATGGGTGGGACAGACTTCATGATTCGCCCGCTGATAGGGGTTTGGGTAAGGCCCAGAGAGGGGCACAGGGGTGGGAGCTGCAGGGGGAGGGGGGGCCCTTCCATCCACCAGCCTCAGGCTCCTTCCTGTCCCCTTGAACAGCAGACACACACACACACACACACACACACACACACACACACACACGACCCTGGCTCTCCACCACTGCCGGCCGCTAGAAAATCCATCCCGAGAACCGCTCCCCAAATGCAATGCCCAAAGACGGTAGAGGCGGGGGTTCGACCCTTGATGTACCCCAGTATTCGTTCCCTCCTCAAATTGTCACTGAGAATGGGGATACATTCCATCAAGAATGAGAGGTGTTTCTTTGGAGTGGGGAGGGCCTCCGAATGCCAGAAGAGGAATTAAATGGGGGGGGGTCCATCCAAATGCTCTTCTCCCCTATTTCTCCCCAGGGGAGGTGGTGAACCCAAAGCTGGGCTAGAAGGGCAGGAGGGAGGGGGAGAAGGGAAGAGAGGGGAGGAGGACAGGGCTGGGAAGGGCAGCCATCAAGGGGAAGCAAAGGGGAGAGCCGGTGGAAACATTAAAGGGAAGGGAGAGCCCAATGGAGGGAAGATGGGGGCGGGGAGCCGGAGGGGCAGAGAGGAGCTCTCTCTCCAGACCCCTGCACCCAGCTCTGTCGGGGCGATGAGCTCTGAGCCCTTTATAGATTGACATGCTTCCCCCCACCCACCGCCCGGAATATCTGTGCAGACTTCTGAAAGGGCCCCAACCCCCTTGTACCACTGGAAACCCAGGAACAGATTCCCAAACAGGATATGGCAGTGGAGGGTCTAAAGGGTCATGTTGGGAGGTCAAAGGTCAGGGCCAGAGCGGGCTTGAGGACTGGAAAGAGCACCTCTAGATACAGATGGAACCTGTCCCCCTCCCTTTCCCCATCCCCTCCGCAGAGGGAGGGGCAGTGTGATGCAGATGCAGATGGGGAGGTGGACAGAGGGGGTCAGGGTGCCTTAACGGTCACCTCTGGCAAAACAAAAGTTTCTCTTAGCTGCTTCCAGATTGAAGGGTGTGTTGAGGTATCAGAGTTGTAACTCTCGTAAAATCTCCTGCCTGGCCCCCTCCCCACCATTCCAGGACTGGGGTGACCAGAGGCTCTGAAAGTGGCCTACCCCTCCTCAGCCACCATCGCCTCCCCTCCCCCTCCCCACGGAGCGAGTATCTCTAAGCACCTTGCCCCTCAGACCACTGATTTCCAAAAGGCCCCGGTGGAAAACAGATCCAGGGCGGGCCCCTGGGGAGGGACGCAGGAGGCCTGGGGCAGGGGGCTTAGGAGAATATTCGGATGGCTTGCGTGGCCGTGATGTGGCAGACGGGACACTCCGGGTCCGTCCTCTCGCAGATGCGTACTGCACACTCCATGCAGAACAGGTTGTGTCCGCAGGGCACGAGGGCGGCAGTCACCTCGCTCTCGAAGCACACCATGCAGTCCCGCCCGCCGCCGGGGCTCCGCAGGCCGCCCCCCAGTTTGGAGAAGCCCTGCAGCGGCTCCCCCGGCGGGCGTCTGGGCAGTCCGGCCAGCTCGGGCCCCGCGGAGGAGGCGGCGGGCGAGCGGTGCGCCCCCGGCGGCGCGGCGCGGGCCTTGGCGGACGACGACGACGACGAGGAGGCGGAGGAGAAGAGCACCGAGGTGGGCGTGGCGTTCTCCTGGCCCGCCCAGAGCGGGGGGCTGGTCTCGGCCACGCCGTAGTACACGTCCTGCTTGCCCACGCCGTAGCCCGGGAACAGGTAGCCGCCGTAGCCGAAGTCCCCGCCCTGCTCGCCCAGGCGCGGGGCCTCGAAGCCGGAGTCCACCGCGCACTCGCCGATGCAGCCCAGGCTGTTCTGGCGGAAGGTGGAGAGCGGCTTGCAGCCGGGCGGGTGCACCCGCCAGGCCTCGGAGTAGCGGCTGTCCAGGCCGGCGTCGGGGCTCCCCGCCAGGAAGTCGTTCTCGTTGTTGTACTCGAGGATCTTGCCCGTGCGCACCGCGATGTGCGTCTCGATCTCCTCGCGCGCGCGCTCCACGTTCCCCGGGGCGCCCGTGATCTCGAACACCGGGTCGCGGTCGCGGCTCGGCGTGATGATGTACGTGTTGGTCTGCTGCTGGATGCGCTTGATGGTTGCCCCCTTGGGGCCCACCACCAGCCCCACCACGCGGTAGGGCACCCGCACGCGAATGGTCACCTGGCCCGGCAGGGCCGGCGCCACGCCGAAGGCGGCGCCCGACTTGTTGCGGGAGGCGCGGATCATGGAGAAGTGCTCGGCCGCCGAGATGATTTCCCGTCGGGCTGTGGCCACGTCCTCCCGCCGCCCGGTCACCATGAACACGGGCTCTTCGCCGCGCACCGGGGTCTTGATGTACGTGTTGGTCTTGGCCCTCAGAGCCTTAATCTTGCAGCCTGGGATTGGGGGGGGGGGGGGCGGGGGGCGGGGAGAGAGAAGGAAACTCACAGGGCAAGAAGGTCTGTGCTGGGGCCAGTCGGCTCCTGATCTTTACTCAGACCCAGGCCCCCAGGTGCGAATGCCCCCTGCCTTCCACCGTCCCCCGTCTCGGGTCTCCCCAACGCCTCTATCCACCACAGATTTCAAAATGTACCAACTTTCGCTCGGATTCCAGCCAGGACCCTCCAAATTCAATGACTTCTTGAAACCGGTAGATAATCACGGACCCTCCCGGACAAGCTGCTAACCTCAAATCTGCTAACTCCGCCCAACCACCTACTGTTCCCTCAATGTCTCCACTGATTCCTGACTGCTCACAAACTTCCAGGTCACTTAATCACACCGCCCCCCCCCCCCCCCCAAGGCTGACACTGACCTTGTGGGGCCCCGAAGTGCTCAGTAACCCCACAATCTCCTGACTTGACCTCCATTCATTAAACGTGTCCTCCAGTCTACTCAGGGACCACTGACACCCATTTGCTCTGTGATCTATGATCGGGGGGGGGGGGCCCCCCCCCCGCGCTGCGCCTTCCACCCATTAGTGCATCTCAGAGGGTCCCAAATTCATAGCACGTCTGCAGCAACCAGTGGAGTGTGGGAGACTGGGAAGGGTCTGAGAATCAGTTTCAAGAGGGAAAGAAGTATGAAGATAAAAATAATGACGTGTGAGGGACAGCACCCGAGCCCATGGACACTTCAGCCACACTGTCCCCTGGGGGCAGGAGCGCTGAGATGGGCTGGGCGCTGAGGAGGTGACAGACAAGGTATTCTGCACCCACATTGACGCTCTGAAGTAGAGGGGGTTAAAGCTGGGAGATTGGGGGGAGAGGCAGGAAGAGAAAGAGGAGAGCCGAGACAAAGAGAGACAAAGACAGCAAAGGGGAAGAGAAGGGTCCAGGAGGCTGGCGTGGACACAGCATCTCTGAAGGCCGCAGCCCCCTGATGGCTGACAGGCCAAGCCTCTCTCCTCTTTCCCAAGTTCTGTCTCTCTGCCCCCTGGCTTCACACGCAGCCAGGCTCACGTGCCTCCTCGAAGCACACATGCCACACGCGTGTGAGTTTGCACACACATGGACCTAAGAGCCGTGATGCACCGTGTGCCTTTATCTAAACACGACTCGTGGTGCAAACGCAGTGCACACTCACACTCACACACCGACTGCGTGTGTCTGAACCTCTCGCACACCCTGCCCTCCCATCTCCATCACCCGCAGCCCTCAAACAGCACATTCCTCTGCACGCCCACAACTTTTGCCCCCCGCGCACATGGAGACACGTTCCCACCGCTCTGCAGGTACATACTGTGCTCTTTCTTCTAGCCCCCACCACGTGCCCTATTCCCCCCAAAACCCATGCCAGCGGTCCTAGCTCTCCCATTGGGCCCCAGCCCTCCAGCCACGGGTCTGAGGGCAGCTGGGGGGGGGGGGCTTTCTCTCCTCCCTTCTCTCCAGGTGGCTTCTTCTCCAGCCCCACCAGATTGGGCAGGGGGGAGGATGGGGTGCGTTGAGGGCAGTGCTCCTCACCTTCAAGAGACCTCGGGAAGGAGAACTGGCTCCTCCCTTCTTGTCTTCAGGCCTCTTGGCAGTTGAGAAGTCCTACCTGTTGTCAAGCCCACATCCTTGCTGCTCTAATATCAGTAAATGCTGCTCCTCCTTTCTGTGAGGCCTGGAGGTGTGAGGAGCAGTGACTCCCTCTCCTACAGCTTCCACTCACATGGCGTCTGCTGGGCACCCGGGGGCTCTAAGTTCTAGGTCCATTAGCTGAAGCAATGGGGTATCTTTGGGGGTGGGGGTGGGGGTGGGGCAGACAGGCCAGGGCAGGAGAGTAAGAAGGAAAGCTGGGGGCCCAGAGGTGCAGAGCTGGTGGACGGGATCCTGGGCTTTGGAACACCGAAGAAGCATCTCTGGAAGGGAAGACCACGGGGCTTCACCTTTCTAGAGGTCAAAAAGAGGAGTCCTGGCGCTGCGGCCCAGGGAGGGGGGCTAGACAAGAGGGAGGACTTCCACGTGCTTCAGGGGTGAGGGGGGCTTCTCTTCCCCGAGTAGGAGAGATCCCCCTACTTTTCTGAGAGACAGGTCCATCCGTCTGCTGCAGAGGCAGAGGACTCCATGAAATCCTGGGCCCTCCCAAGACCACCCCCGCATCCAGGGAGAGCTATCAGTGTCCCCACCCAATTCCACGGCTCGGGGTCCCTAGTTTCTGGCAACAAGAGGAAATCCAACTTTTTGAACCAGGAATCTCGAGATGGAGCGCCCCAGGGGGGGGTGAGGGCTGTGCAGGGGAGTGGCATCTTCCCTCCTCCATTCTGGATCGCCCTGCAAAATGCCCCCAACCCCCAAGCAGTTCGGGTGGATGAGGTGGGGTGTACGGTAGGCAGCGCCCCCCCCCCCCAGGCTGGTCTCCCCTCCTCCCCTGCCCGCAGCCGGCCTCCTCCCTCACTCCCAGCCGGAAAGCAGCTCCTCTATTGTTCCCCACTGTGGGACAGCTCCTCCCCTGCTCCTCCCCCACCCCTACCTCCCAGCCCAGCCCCCTTGCAATTTCCAAATCCCGCCCCCCCCCACTCCCCTTTGGGAAACCGGGAGAGGGAAGGGTCCCCAAGATCCCGTCTGCTCAGTCTGGACCCTCACCAACACTCCCACCCCCACCCGCCCAGGGATGCTGGAGCTGAGGAGGGTGTGGTATCAGACACACCACACTGGATTAATTCTACACCCCCCACCCCAACAACACACCCAGGCGCACGCCCTCCAACCGAACCTCCGCCCGAAGGTTTCTCACCACCCCCCCTGCAGGCCCCCTCCTGCCCTGTCCTACTCTCACACTACCAGAGACCCTTCTCCAGGCCTCTGGCCCCTAGCCGTGGCCAGCCCAGAACAAAAGCCTGAGAGGGATGAGGACAGGTCCACGCCAGGACGTGGCACTTCGTTGGAGGCACCCCTTCCAAAACCCCACAGATCGTTCAACTCTGGTGTGTGGGTGACCACAGGACTCCCTCCTCCCAGCAGCCCCCCTCCCCACTTCTCCCCTGGGCTGGGACCCTCCCATGAGCCACACCCCCTTCCATTCCTGCACTCAGCCCAACAAAGAGACAGATACTCAGTCTGGCTTCCCGGGCCAGGTCTCCCCCAAAGTCTGTAACTCCAGCTGTAGGGGGTCCCAGGGGTGCCCCCTCCCCAGCCCACGAGCAGATCCCGGAGCAGGGGCTTCTGAGCAACTCTTGGCGCATTCCTCCAGTTTTTCTGGCTAGGAGTGGACATCCCCTCCGGACAGCCTCCCAGGATTGGGAGACCGATCCCCCTCCCTTTTCCCTCTCTCTGTGAGAGGCTATTTCTTTGTCTAAAGGCAGAGCCCTGGGGAAGGAAGGATCCGAAGAACAGTCCCGACTGGGGGTGGCAGGGAACTTTGTGGCACTTGGAAATCGGGGTAGGGGGCGGGTCCCCCTTTGTGGGGAAGGGACAGAGCCAGAGGCGGGCAAGGAGAGAGGAAATGAACTTTCCGTGCTGGGATGGGGTGCCCCCCACTCCAGTCCGTCTCCGCGGTCCCGGCGCCCGCTTACCTTGCCTGCCCACGATCTCGGCCACGTGCTCGGAGGTGGGCACGGGGACACACTCGGTGGTGTTGCTGCTGCCCTTCAGGCGCAGCTCGGCCTCTTTGTAGAGAGCGCAGAGCTTGGCGTCGCTGGCCCCTTTGGGGGCGGTGGGGGGCTGGGG